TTTCGGATTTGTACGACGAACGTACAGACATCGCACGGCAATCGCAAGGCAGCCTTGCGAATTCTTGTGCGTCGTGCGGTGCCCATGCGAAATTTTTTCAATTTCGTACGATTGTTTAGAGTGTCTTCACAATCGCACATCTGTTGCACGGTCATTTTGCGACGACCGAACGAAATGTGTTGTTTAAATATTGTGCGAGCAGTGCACGTCTGCCTTACGATCTACAAGTCTGTGTAGATAGACTGCGAAAATGCTTGCGACCTTTCTACGGTACAGATTTCTCTACAAATGGTACGAACTAAATTTCGTGCGGCTGATGTGATAGAGGCTTATGGAAATCTGCAAACGAATGATAAGACACCGCCAAAATCGTACGATCGACGTAAGACAATCGTAGGGTAAAAACGGTCATACGACCGTTGACAAGACGGGCGCCAGTGTCTTAATCATTAAAACTTAGATGTCAATTGTTTTGAAGATTTAAAAACGTAATGGCTTGTCTGTCATTCTTCATTGAAACATGCACACAAATTATCGTCTGTTTCAATGCTATGTTGCATTTGCTGGCACTATTTTGCTATGTATGGCTTTCCTTAGGGATTCTGTATTTGTCTATTTTATTGTTCTCATAATGTAACAACTATCAAACATAGTGTAGAAAAAATGAGAGGTAACATAGTACAGTCTACTATGATGTCATAATACAATCTCTGGTGGGACAAAACTAGAAAAGCATAAGAAATAATTACATGTAGTATGCTCTTGCTTTAGTGCGGGAATTTTCGAGAGAAAAACAAACAACACACAAAGCTAAAAAGTAAAACAGTGGCAAAGTTAGGCCAGACTTGATAAAGGAGATTGAACATTTTTATTCTCTCTTAAGTGTCTGAAGTATGATTATTGGCCTGAAAACTTTAATGCTTGTATTTGTTAATGCAAACAGGGAAGGCGAATTAATTATTTATAGAGAAGCGCTTGTGAATTTTTTTTATATATATCCAGCTTAGACCGTATAAATTGTGCTTGGGAGCTAACTTTGCACTTAAGAGACATTTTAGATCTGACAACAAAACTTTAAATGTAGCTCAATACTCAAAGGGGACGTTTTCTATAAAAGAAGATTAATGATTAAAGTCAACTGCATGGTTTTGACGCATGCACAGAATAATTCTATGTTTAAATGTGACACGTCTGGGTACTTAAGAGAGAATAAAAATGTTCAATCTCCTTTATCAAGTCTGGCCTAACTTTGCCACTGTTTTACTTTTTAGCTTTGTGTGTTGTTTGTTTTTCAATTCTGTTCTTTTAAACATGACTCAAACCCTACACTCTGTTACTTTTGTAGACCTCTTAATCAAACTCCCCAGTAGTGTTCCCCAGTAGTGCTTATACTGTTCGCTCTAAGGCGGCATCACACAATATTCCTAAGATATATGTCTTTTCGATCCTACCTGCAATTATGCTGACACCTTTGTGTCCCTACTTATTTTTCGTCTACGTTATGTACCCCCCCCCGCCCCCCTGTGTTTCAATCAAGTTCCCCCTCCACACCTTTATCGACAAACTGGTTTCTTCCGTACACCCTTTACCCCCTTGAAAGCATATCAATTAATCGTCTTCTTTAATTTCCGTGTCGTTTTTTATTTGTTTGGGTCGTCAGACCAAACAAATAATGGTAGCGAAATTTCAGAGTCTAATGTTGTTAATTGCAAATGCCGAAAGTAGTCCACTTTTTTGAAGCGGTTACTTCCCTTTTGTATGTACACTAAAGCCGAAAAATTCAGGGGAGATCACTGCGTAAAGATGGTCAAAGACAGGCGCATCCATTTTCAAGCAAAGTAATTCCCGAATGGTCGAAGATTTCTAATATTGTTTTATTGTATTTTCTGATCGAAAATAACTAAATACAAAGCGGACATTCAATCTCTGACACAGAAGTTTACTACAAACCTAACAACAAGTAGTTCTCAAAACAGCTTAAAACTAGCGATTTAAAAGAAAGAAATATTTTATTTTTTTACAAGTATCCAACAAATTACAACGCATTTAAAGTTAAACAATAGCGTTGGCTTATAGAATTGTCAATAAATGCACAATCACAAATTACGCGGATGAATATGATTTTATCAATGAAAATACTATTTATTACCGAATACTACACAAACCGAGTAGTGGAATATATAGATTCTACATGTCGGACTGTTTGGGCGAGAGGATTTTCGCTAAAATATTTACTTCAATTTTAAACAACAGGTTTACCCTGAACAAAATACCTCGAAATTAATAAGGATTACAAATCCGAAATGCAATGGAAGTTCTAAATTTAGAATGACTTGATATTATTCAGACTATCTGAGTATAACTTCTCCGTGGTACAGTGGTAACGCGCTCGCTTAGTGAGTGAGAGGTCTCGAGTTCGAATCCCAGTCGAGGAAACTTTTTTTTTGTTAAATTCTTTTTTAAGTGTTTTTGTTAAGGAAGTAGCCATGATATGCAAGGATAAAGTGTGGCTGTCGTAAAAAATGAACATAAATGATTTTTTGATGCAACTCTAGTTATGCAGAATTCCGTATGTATCAAACTCTGGTGCCTTGCAAAATGAATTATAATACATAAAAATAAACCTATACAGGAAAATGCAAACAGATATACAGTACGATTTAGATTGCAAAGATCAGAAAATACCACAGAACTTGCAGCCCTTTGATTCTTTATAAATATAAATGCTTATAGTAAGCTCCAGGATTATTTACATCTGTGTTAAACAACAGTTAAAGTCGTTACAAGCCCTAATTTAGAATAATATGGTTTTCGTCAGCCCGTTCACATATAAATTCACCGTGGCTGAAGGGTTTTCGGGCTCGCTTAGGAAGCGAGAGGTCTGAAGTTCAAATCCCAGTAAAGGTAACTCATTTTTTTTTTCAAATTGTTAAAGTCAAATAAACATTGGATTGAATATCAGTGTTGCAATTAGTCTTATAGCCAATTTACTACAATTAAAACGCTGGAAAGCATTGGTGGCACTATACATATAATCTCACAACCTGCACCTTTCTTACATTCCGAGACCCAAACAAATTCAGCGCCTTCTGTGCTTTGATTATGATTACCTACTTTAATAACATTTTTCAAGACTTCTTTCTATAGATAATAAACAGATTAAACGATATATATCGCCAAAGCCAGTAATATCGATGTATTGTCAAGAAATACAGAGGGGGATAGCAGAAAAAAAGCTTGTGAAACAAGAGTCTGCAGATGTTTCAGAGCAAGATTTATGTTATGCTCATGAAACTATTCCATAATACGAAATTGGAGGCATGAAACAATATGGAAATATTTCCATGTCTTGGAAGAAAAATGAGAAAAGATATATCTATATATATATATATATATGTATGTATTTAATGTTATATATATAGTCTAAATGAATAAATGCGTAACATAAATATAAATAACAATAGTGATTGATATCAATTTATTTGAAAACAGATTTACAGCATAGTCTTGTATTGTTGACTAAATTTATATCGGTGAAACAATTAACAGTCAATTTATAATGATCATTCTCATACATGTATTATACTTTATATTGCAGAGTTTAATACAGTATCATTTGAAACTTATAACCTTTCGATTTATTCGTCAGTTTACTACCACCGTTTCCATATGTGAACATAATGGTGATTGGATGGCATTTCCATTTGTTTCGCTCTTTTAATTTAGTGTTATGTTAAATGCAAACTTTGTACCGTTGTTTTTATTCATATAAGCAATTGTGTGTCGCCCATTTAAAACAAATACGACAATCTTGAATTAGCAGAGATATTTTAGAGCCCGCCTTTTAAGTCTACATTGTCTGGAATAATGTCATGAAGGTTCCGTGCTTGTATCACAATTTGCAGTCTTATTCCAGTTCCCGTCCTTATGTTCACTGATATTTTTTTACCTTTTTAACAACATTCCCTTCGATCCATACTTTGGCAGGACAGGTATGATATATTTCAATTCAAATATGCTTTAATATAAATTGAATCAATGCTCTCAGCAAACTTGATAAGGTATTTATTTACAACCTTATTACGTAATCTCTATTTTATTTTTACTTCAAGTACAGGTTTAAAGCTGGATTTAAAATTATAAGTACGTGTCAGATAATAAAGGAACAATATTTCATGTGAAATAAAAGTGTATCTTAAGTGTTAAAAAACTCAAAACGGTTTTCATATAACTTTGAAAATATCGAGGAATTCCAAATATATTTATGACTATTACATTTTTCAACTTAATTGAGAAAATATGTTTGGTACTTTTTGTTGTTTTGTTTACTTTAAATTTTCTTTCTTTGTATTTTTTTTAATCATAGAATTCTTCCGCTGTGCATTCTTCTAGTAATTCTGTTTATAACAAAGGTATGACATAACTGATATTTTTAAACTTCCAAATAGGTCTTTTTCGAAAAAAGTTACGCAAATTATTATTATTATTATTTACTTTCTATAGCATAAGTATAATTCCGAATTTTATAATATAATTTTAATATCTCTAATTCTGACTAATTGACTTGTCGCGTAGCACAGAAAACCAAATGGTTTCATAATTGATGGGTATGCATGTAACTTGTTTCTCTCATTTTAGTTGCTTAGAAGTTTACCGGACAGTCTCTAAGTCTAAACTTATCTATGGCTCTATGCTCTTAACCTAGTTCAAAATATAAAGTAAAATATTATATTGCTATTTTACGATTTGTATTGCATGCTATATTAAACGAGCTTAAGATTGATTAAAAAATATCATGAACAAAAAGTAGAACCTTGGATCGAAAACAACTATAAAGATTAAAAATCGCAATTTATACCCCGCCAAGTAAACCATTCAATCACGAGTTTCACATTAAGAAGATATGAAGTATTAACCAATGAACATCAATCAGATAGTCATGTGTCACACATGTCATCAAGGACCTATATATTGAGCTGTCGTGGTCGAATAGCGGCTAAACTGCACTTTACAAGACAAAGCACAGTCTTAAAGTGTGTGAATTTTAATTTGGTTCTAATTCATAGGCGGCACGAAGAGCTGTAGGGCGAAGAAAACGTTTTCATTGTCAACATCATACACTGTTTATATACAAGATATTTAAACAAGTAGGTAAATGTTTTATCGTGTTAATATTTTTATGATAAATTGAGTGACATTGTAATGATACGGAACTTGTATTTTAGCAGTTAGTACATGTAGTAGGGATTTAAAGTCCATTTTATACACAAGTGTGATCAAAGATATTTTCATTTGTCAGATCTTAGCACATCTAAATCAAGGTTTATTAATGCGTTACTTTTTTTACTTACATTATATTTTATAAATAATCTTTCAACAAGGGGTTAGGTTAAGTTGTGTTTTTTCCTCCTTTTTTATTAGAACCACGTTTAAGGCCCGTTTTTTTCAAGGAAAAAAACAAGAATACAAAACATGAAAACTTAAGCATTTACATTAATACGTAGATAATTAAAATAAATTCATTTGTTATGATTTTAGTCAGGTATTATATAAGAATATACAAGACATTTTTAAAAAATAAATGATTCATTCTTGTAAACAAATACACAAGAAAATGGGCAAAAGGATGAAAAAGTAATTAAACTGCTTTCGTAGCATTTCTCTCTGCATGTATTGTTTAGATATCAAACAATTTGATTACATTTATCCAGCAATTTTCAAAGTCTTCTAATGTATCATTTTGTAATGCACAATTCTTTCATTTTTTTATCTGTTTAAAAACTCTTTTGAAAATACTTATGTCTGGAGTTTGTTTCTTTAAATTACTGGTATAAATGTAATATTCTGCAAAGAGAAAAAATATAGTGTTACTTTAACATGAAAGAAAAATGTTAAATTGTCATACGTTACATTTATTGCTATTTCATTTAGACATTTGAATAGATTATTTCAGAATATTTGTGCCGTTTGGCACTCCTAAAAATAGGTGCTCTTTACTTTCAAAATCCATAAAGTAAAATCACAAAGACTAGATTCGGTTAATTTTCATAGAAGGAGAAATTTGTTTGTTGCGATATTCCCGTGTAGAAAGTGTAAAAAGATTATATTGACGTTTTGTAAAATATAATCTTTGCAATATACAAGAACTATTTTTGCCATTTAAAATTCTTTTTGTGGAAATTGTTCTTCCCATCTTATTTGCGGTTTTTATAGAGTTTTTACACAGTCTTATTTACTTTTTAATCTGTGTTAACTGTTTTTCTATGATATCAAAAGTGATTACTTCTTTAGGCGTTAAAGTTTGATTAGTTGTAGTTTACGCTTCCAATCTTTGGGTATTGATGAAGTTAATTTATAAAAGTTAACTATTTCTGTATCAGGAATGTTAACAATGAATTTCAACTGGTCAAAGGTTTTAAATTGTTTTGTTTCAGTGTTAAAAATATCCTTTATTTTATTAATATTTCTACATTTCCATTTTTTTTGAAAAAATTAAAAATTCATTATTTTTATATGTGAATTCTGCCACATTATTTGGTTATATAGATTTTGTCATCGTCGGATACCCACGGCCGAACCATTTACATTTTTTATTGCATGTTATGTGACATGTTTATCAATCGTGGGTATCCGACGATGAGATTTTGTGGATTTTTATTAGAATTTATTTTACTCCATGACATAAGTTATTCTTTTAAGCAAGTATTTCGATTTTAAATTTCTGTATATCACTATTATTGAAACGTCTTTTAGATTAGTCGATTCAATGTATTTTTTGTAAAATTTTCTTTATTGCTTCTTTCCACAATCCATGGTTATTTTTATTAAACATTCTTTTGATCCAGCTTTATTTAATCGAGTTTATGAAAATTGGCAAGTCGATCATATTTAATCCTTCATATATAAAGTCTTATATAATTACATCCCTCTTAACTTTGTCTCTTTGTAAGTGCCATATAAATTCAAACCATTTGATTTTGTGTTTTCGCCATTGAAAAACATGTAATTTGAGAGAGTTGTGTCATGCATGGTACATAGATTCTCATATTTGTCTGATTTGTTAAAAGAATACCATTTACATTTAAACTTTTTATAAGTTTACTTTCCGCATTTTTTCTAATCCTTTTAGTAATTTTATATTTCTTTCGCCATAATTTATCTTACAACTTTTTATTCTAGTAATAAAAATCTGGAAACAAATTGATCCTTCGAAAGCATTAATCATAACAAAATAACAAGAGAAGGGCAGACTCGGTTTGATTGAGTCTGTACATGAGTGATAAGGAATACGTGCAACATCCCTCACGCCCCCCCCCCCATAGGACCGGCTTAAGCGGTACTCAGTTCTCAACACGATATAGTGCAACACGTAATAACACCTTTTATATTTTCCATATATAAATTATCGAACTCTTCTTTTTTTCATATCCAGTTATTTTCTTTTAATTTTCATTAAAATTTTCTTACTAAGTTTATTTTTTCATCAATTTCTTTGACAAGTTTGCTTAGTTTTTCTCTTTTGATTTCCTTCTTATACTTTCAATATTTAATTGTTTCATTTCGAATAGTACTTTTAATTATTATTATTATAAATGCAATTAGATGATCTGATCTTAAGCTAGTTCTAATTCATGTAGTTATAAGAAAATTTACTAAGTCATTTGAAATAAAAAAAATAAGCCAACCTACATGCTTTATTTGCATGAGATTTAGATTGCCATTTTAATCGTTTATTCTCCTGTAAATATCTGAAAAGTGGAATGTTTCTATAATATTTGTATTTTTGACGACATTTTAAATGATTAAAAGCATTTCCTCTCTGTTTTTCAATATATTGATTAATAATCTCCTCTTATTATTAAAACATGTAAGATCTTATAATAGTGATCTGACGAACAATCTTTACCGGCTATAAAAGTTTCAAATTTTCATATGCGGGTTTTTTTCTAAATAATTTTTTTTAAAAAGTTAAAGGTTATTGTTTTACGCTTTTATAAGTAAAATGCTTTTATATAATTATTAATGTCTAGTTTTATCAAAATTGATTTTTTAAACATATCTGAAAGTAATGTTCATTTACAATTTTGATTTTTGTTATGGCTATGGCTATTTTTGACAAATTCACGTTTTTAAAGTTTGTATTTCGTATGTTTAAAACATTGCTTTTAGTTTTGTGTTTTGTTTGTTTACCCCTGTTAAAGTGTCTATAAAAAGGAATTCTTATGTTTTGCATGCAAATTTGAAATATATTGCACAAGGCGACCACTAGGTGCAAAAATCTGCACTAGTGGCCTGATTATAAAAGCTGGTGTTTAGGAGGGAAATAAAGGTTAATGTTACATACAAAAACCTACACACTCTTTATTTGATTCTAAAATGGCTTTCAGTAATCTTTTAAAAAGTTTTTGCCTCGTAAAAACATAAAAGAGCTAACGTTTTTTATAGGTGGGGGACACTGGGAGTAAACAGTCGCGTGCATCATTCCCTGGCGTCCTTGAAGGTGCAGAACCAGATCAAGCCTGAAGCATTTTAATATGTTTAATTTTTCCCGTATTGGTGCTTATTTTCACAGAGATATTTTGTCGACGAGAAGCTATATGTAAAATTTATTTTTAATGTTCATGGTATACTTTTATTATTCGTTAGGTTTGTCACTGACATATTACGGAAATATAGAGGTCTGTTAGATTTATATGGGGCTAGGCGAAAGACAAAAAAGCTGACATTTTCTTATTACGTCACTTTGTGGCTGCTATTATCCAATGAAAAATACGGGATGGTACTCCTAGTGGGATGTGAAATAAAACCACTTAGCTCTCAATTCATATTTTGAGTATTCAGAGAAAATATGTTTACATCTTTGGGTACATTTGGTAATGTCGACACTGGAAAGGCCATCATGCCACCTTTCATATCTTTTCATATCTATTTGTGGACATTTGAGATATATCATTTATTAACTATGTGTTTTGTTTTCAAATATAAAAAATAAGCACATTGCATCAGTACACTTAAAGTATTACACCATTCATACATTAGGTATAAGATTGCTGATATTAAGGCAATGGCAGTTCATTTATTGATAATGGCAACCGCCCATGACAACAAACATATATATATATATATATATATATATTATATATATATATAATATAAATATATATATATATATATATATATATATATATATATTATATATATATATATATATATATATATATATAATGATATTATTATTTGAATGGTGCCAGTACAGAATACTCGTAATTATTATGTTTTGTATAGCTTGGTATAGCGTATATTAAACCGTAGGCAACAACCCTGGTTTGAGAGATTAAAACAAAAGTGTTATCTCCATAATGTATTTTATACATCGCGACACTTCTTATGCGCTTTTAAAATTCTTATTTTGTTTCGTTTTTTATTCTTGATTTGAATTCAAAGTTGTATTTCCGTGATATGTTTTAAATTTTATCAGACCCAAATTTTTAATTTGATGGTTCCAATACTATACAAGTGCGTAATTAAAATAATAAATAAGCATGCCAGTATCATTTTTACGCTTGATATGGAACAAGTATTGTTCATGATTGTTAAAAAAATAAACGATGAAAAAATTATATCAAGACTATCGCGAGAGAAATATTGATTGCATTGCATTCATTGAATTATATAAAAATTCATGGAAGCCACAAATTTTGTCATTTCAGAACAATTGGTGACATGGACCACAAATAAAATTGTAGATGAACTACGCATCTTAAAAGACAAATACGATTTTAAAAGTTTTTTATGCCTGTTTATGTGCTGCGATGGAAAATATTTCGTGTTTGTGGAGTGATATACTTGACTGTATAGGGTACGACAAAGAGATTATTAGCATAAGAAGAAATTTCTGGCAACAAAAATCTTGGCCTATATTTAATGAATGGAATCCATGGGACACTCATATAGTCGCGGGTAGCAAGGCTGAGGGAATTACATCTATTTTTGAAAGTGACATCGATTTTATGTTGCTGTGTAAAGATACAATATGTTCAGATGAAGACTTGACTACTGTATCAGGTTTTACAACCTTATATGCTGATACAAGGGAAACGCCACCAGGGTATACCAGGCTAAAGATGATAAGTAAAAACTGTTGTCAGGGGGAAACGTACAGACAATTCCTCAAAAAGTGTTTTTTTGAGTCGGAATCTTCGGACGTGTACATATCAAGCTTTAAATTTTCGTCTCTTTTGAAGCGTGAAGGTGTTTATTCGGGTGATGCAGAGTTTTTAAATAATTTTCTTCAAAGGGCTGAACTTTCCGGTCCATCATTGCCAACAACATATTTTGGGTGTATATCATCTGACTCGGTTTTAGCAATTCCATGTCATTATCCAAAGATACTTCAAACCTGGAAAAAAAGAAAACGTCGTTATACCTGGCCACCAGAATACGTTATTGAGGCTGCAGCTTCTATGCAACCACAAGTGGTCCCTAAAGGAAGCAAGAACAGTGATGACAAATGGCGAGAATGGAGATTCTGTTTCATAAAATCAGAACTTGAACTGACATCTAGTTTGAATGAAACACAAATCAAACTGTATATCCTTTTAAAAATAGTCGCAAAAGACATATTAAAGAATGTCAGCGAAGAAATATCGTCCTATATGATGAAAAATATTACATTCTGGTTGGCAGAATTACTTCCGGAAGAACTGTTTAGAAAGGACAAGCTCATATCCTTACTTTTCCTGTCATTGATGTATTTGAAATTATCTATTTCCGAGTCAAACTCGTTACCATACTATATGATCCCAGGGAGGAATCTTCTTTCAGAAAGACTTTCACCTGAAAGCAGACGACAAATGTGTGAATTATTAGGTATGTTGATAGCTGAAGGTCCAGGCTTCATTTTTATTAGATGTAGCAAACTAAAATCAGCTTGGGAATTCCTTTTTACTTCTCCGATTCCCTTAGATGTTGACGGAGGAAGACGAGATATGATAGAGAAAATATATTATTCTTTTCTTTCAAAACTCCTTCTTTCAGTGATTAAAGATGACGACATCGTGATTGCTTTTGTCATATCATGTATACATTTTTATATACCTGAATTGTATACATTAATTAATAATGGCATCACTCTAACCGAAATTACACTTTTGTTTCAGAAGAGAGTTCATTTGTGGCTTGAAAAAGTCATTCCGATATTTTCATAAATGAAAGAATTTTATATCAATACAAATCATACATGCATCATTTATTTTATAAATATATACATAGCTATTTCAAAAGTCATATGCCGCACAATATATAAAGTATACGCTCCCTGAACGTCATATCTATCAATAAGAAGGAATGGATCAGACTTGACGAAAGTCCAAATCCAAGTGATAAAAAACGAATAAGTCGGACAGTGACATTTATACCACCATATTTCTGTGTATAAAAACTGTACAAGTGTGATTTTATAACATTCGTGTTCACAATTTCTATTTAGAAAAAAATGTATTCCAGTTATTATCTTAACACATAATTAGATTTGTTAATGATTTTATTTTAATCCATATAAATATTCCTCTAAAAATGATGTTTGGTTTTGATATCTGTTTTACACATTGACCTTATATCATATGTAGCTGTGTTAACAGAATACAAGAACTATTTTTGTCGACTGCTAATGACGTTGTATGGTGAAGTGTGTTCGTTTTTTACATACACTGACTTGTTCATTGCCGATATTCATCAGACAAGTTGGTCACGTCGTTTGTGAGAGGTTGTTGGTTATAAGAGGTTTTCGGATAAAGCAAGTTATTGATATAACATTTTGCATGTATTTATTTTAGAAATTATTTTGATGAAAGTATCTTTTTATTGATGTATTAAATGATTATCATTTCTTTGTACCCAATTCGGGGAGCATCACCAGATTCGACGGCATTATAGTATTAAGTCTTTTTCATGAGTTGAACACCAACATTTTATATTTTTGCTGTATTTAAAATTAAACGTAAAAACAAACTAAAATTCTAAAATAAAACAAAGGAATTGTCGTAAATTTTGAAAGAATGTGTTTTTTATTTGCTTGGTTAATAAAAATGTACAAAATAATAAGATGCACTGTGTTTGTTTCATTTATTATAGATCTTTGTTTTAACTAAAACTCCATACACTTGACGCGAATCCCGTGTGTTAAACTATAGCCATTATATTAAACATCCTTTAACAGAAATCATTCACCTACACTTAAACTACATGGATAGGACGATTAGTTTTTTATCGCGATCAATATCGTTTTTTATGGGAATATGTTCCAAAGCTCAAGGTGATACTTGTAAATTGATCTATTAATAGATGAAATCAAATAAAACCAGAATGACTTTATAGATATTAAATATTTTATTCTTGTTTGAACTTCGATTTGAATATATCAAGATTTCTGAATTCATATATGAATTTTAATTATCTAAAATCTTAAAGCAATACTCTGTTTTTACTTTTCTGTATTAAAAAATTAAATTATTAAACAAAGTAACCGCGGTGGTCTAGTGTATGATGGTGGAAACAAGAAATTAAATCGAGTTTTAACCTTTATGGTTTCGTTATTCGACTTTCCACCATCGTAATTTTGACTTTTCGTCATCGTACTTTCGAATTTTTCATCATCGAAGTTTTGTTATGGCTTTTCGCCATTGCAATTACGTGTATTCACTCTTTCGAGTTGTGTGTCACGATAGCCCTTACGGGACACCGTATCAATTACACATCGATATATTTGATTGTCCAATTGTAAATGCTGAGTGAACGGGAAATAGTAAAAGTTACTATACATTTTGCCAAACTGTTTCCACTTTCAAATTCTACTTTGCCAGAATAATCAGTAATCCACGTGACCTTCAAAATGTATCAGTAACTTTCAATTGGTAAAAAGAGTAGGACAGACTTTTTGTATTTTAGGCAGTTTCTATCCATTATTCTAAACATTTGTCATTATCTTTCATTGGTCAATCACCATTAAATAGTGTATTGTCGGAAATATTTAGAGAACAAAATGAGCATAATATCACGTTAAGCTATGAATGAATATATAAATATAATTCTAATATGTCTCGTGATTTTGTCCCTTAAAGAAGGAAAAACTGTGTTAGCTGGTTATGCAAGTGTTCTTACAAAATAAATGTTACTTCTATTTTGGAAAGAAAGCGGATAAAACTATATTTATTTATTAACTGGATGCATAATTAGATAAAAGCTTTGATTTTTATAGATTGCAAGCATCATACTTTCATTTTTACTTACTTATAGATTAACAACCTGTGACGTACATGACCGAAAATATCCGCGAAATTATACATTTTTTTTTTATTTTCTTAATTCCATTTAAGCAATCTATTAAAGAAAAGATATTATTGTAATTTTGATTTTGTGATGGCAGTGGTCTTTGTAGGGGAGCAAATTTGGATCACTGCGTAGGAGCTTGACCAATGAGTGTTATCACATACATTCATTCATTGTACAAATAAATATATGTCAATAGTGACAAAAACTGTCGTCTCTGATAACAATATTATTTAGTTTAAAGTAGATAGTACATGTAGTTAGTCATGAATAAATTACTTTGCATACAATCGCATGATATTGACAAGTAAACAGAGCTTAAACGAAAAGGCAAAGCAAATAAAAATAATTCTTCATGAAAATGTCGTTATAGGCATTAATTGTGAAGGTAAATATTTAAAGAAAACGAATAGTTGTAAGGAATTCAAAACCTTAAACAATCAAACATTAATTATCTCTAATTATCTGTAAGTGTCTCTTTTACTGAGTTCAAAATAAAGATTGCCTTTTCCATTCTCTAATTAACCAACACATTAAACTCTAAGGTAATTGATTAATTGAATTTTCTTGGTTTTTGTTCTATATTAAGAACTATCTCAAGTTATTGGAACTTTTTATAGTATGTTGATCTTAATTAACAATTTAAATCCAAATTCTAACATTGAAATAATTTAGGTATTATTCGAAGCTGTATTATTGTTATCTGCTTAATTCTCAATTCACTAAATCCGAGTTTGAGGCCTTTACTTCTAATTAATTTTTTGCAAAATTTTAAATGGATATTTTTTAAAAACGTTTTTTATTTTGCCTTTATGAAACCCCATTACTCACATCCATAATTTAAAATGAGTGTAATTTAACTTGTCATATATACAAAAATGTACATGTATGTAGAAGATATATATTATCTTATCAGATGATTACCAATTGAAAAAAATCATAGATTGAGGCAATCCTCGCTATGATAAGTAAATATTTTTTGTAACCGGAATTTATGGTGTAACTGTTGAGTATTATAGGTCAAGCACTCTTTATCGGTTTATACAAGTTTCAATTTTTATTGCGCATGTTGTTTTTTATAAATGCAAATAAAGACATTTTAAAGGTAATTATTTTGTACTTTTATTAGTAAAATGCTTTTGAATTATTATTATTTCTAATTTTATCATTTTTGTTTTTTGTTTTTTACTTTAACAAGTCTGAAACAAATTATTATGTTGATTTAAAGCTTTGAACTTCCTGTTCTTTTTGACAAATTCATGTTTTAGCATGTTTAAACCATTAATTTTCGTCTTGTGTATTTGTTAGTTTACCACTGTTAAAGTGGTTTATATAGCGGATGTTTTTTTCTTTTGCATTAAGTTTGAAGTAGATTTGACAGAGCGAACACTATATGTTATATTTTTACGAGTGGCAGAAATATTAAAGTTGGTGTTAACAAGTATAAAGCAGTTTATGTTACATACAAAAACAAAAACACTGTTTATTTAATGCTATTTAGTGGGTTTTTTTTGTCATTTTTGTACAAGCTTTGCCGCGTAGCAACATAAAGAGCAAACGTTTTTAGGGGTGGATGGGCTCTGGGAGTCAGCAGAGGTCTGCATTATCCACAGGCGTCTGTGAAGGGGTAAACCAGACCAAGGCTTAAACATTTTAATATTTTTATTATACCCGTATTGGTGCTTATTTTCACAGAGATATTTTGTGGACGAGTACTTTTGTATATACAATTTGTTTAATGTTAATGGTATGTAACTGACATATTACGGAATTGACATATTACGGAAATAAACATGTCTGTTAGAAGTACATGCTGCTATGCGATAGGTAAAAAGCTGGCATTTTCTTATTACGCCACAATTTGACTTCTATTATCCAATTAAAATACGAGATGGTACTCGTAGTGGGATGTGAAATAAAAAAAACACTTAGCTATCAATTCACTTTTTCCTTATTTGGAGTGTTAGTGTTAAAATTCAGAGAAGATATTTTTGTATAGTAATTCATGTCGACACTGTAAAAGTCATAATGTCAACATACATATCTTTTCATATCTATTTTTGGACATTTGAAACATGTCAGGTGATTACTCCATTTACTATTTGTTTCATTATCTAAATCTAAAGATAAGTATGTTGCACCAGGACAGTTTAAGTATTACATCATTCAAGTTTCGATATGACTTGTCATAAGATAACGACAAGTTTATTTATTGATTGTGACAACGGCCCATGACATAAATCTTTTTTTACAAACGATCAATATGGTAGAACAAATTGAATTATAAATCATTGTTTGAAAAATAATCAACGATGAAACTAATTTATCAAGAATATGGTTATCAGAGAAATAATGATTGCACTGCATTCAATAAATTGATATAAATATTCATGAAAGCCACACAATTTGTCATTTCAGGACAATAAGTTATATGGACCACGAATTACATGGCAGTTGAACTACACACTCGTCAGGTAAAAATACAAAAAACGATTTAAGAAGGTTTTGTTTATGTTTGTGTATTATGCTGCGATGGAATGGAAAAGATTTCGTGTTTGTTGAGTGATATACTTGACTGTATAGGGTACAGTGAAGAGATTATTAGCACAAGAAGAATTTACTGGCATCATTTTATGAGTGTATTTAATTCACTACAACAAGAATTAACTGTGGTAGTCGCAGGTAGTAAGGCTGAAGGAATTACATCTCTTTATGAAAGCGATACCGGTCATATGCTCCTGTTTAATGATGCAATCTGTGCGAATGACATACAAGACTTGTCTCCTGTTTCAGATTTTACTACATTACATGCTGAAACACGGGAAACGCCACCGGGGTATACCAGGCTAAAGATGATAAGTTGCCTTGGGGAAGATTCAAGAAGATTTCTCCAAGAAAGTTATTATCCAAAGATACTTCATACATGGAAAAGAAGAAGACGTCTATATAGTTGGCCAACCAGTAGACGTACGAGAGGCTGCAGCTTCTATGCAACC